CAGCTGGCCACTGAGATTTTTCTTCCTTTTGTCCAAGGTGGAGTGGCTTTTCTGACCTGACAGGGAGATGGGACCCCCTTTTCAGTGCTGAGAAGTGGCCAGTGTGGTACACAAAGCCCTGGAATCCCACTAACTTGCTGTGTGATCTGGGGGCAGTAACCTCCCCTCTCTGAAGCTCACCTGAAAAAAAGGGGGGGACCAAGTGTGGGCACAAGAGGTAGGGGTGAGCTGCAATGTAAGCTGTGGAAGACGGTGTACTCGGGGCTCCTGTGTGCTGGGCTTGCTTTTCTCTCCTGTGTTGAATCAATATTGCTGGGCATCTGCTCTGTGCCTGGCTTCATGCTGGGACATTCTAGGGACCCAGACGCTCCTCACATTGAGTCCTGTGCCCTAGGGGCCTCTAGGCTGGTGGCTGAGGCAGGTGTGGAAACAAACGGCTCTCTCCTGAGGCCGAAACTAGTATCCCCATTTGCAGACGGGTCATGGACTCCCAGCTAAATGGAACAGCGTGCCCAGGTGACCATGCACCAAGGCAGTGCCACAGCTCCACCCCACGCTGGCACCCCTGGCTCTGTCTGTGAACTGGCTGGTAAGGCTTGAAGGCAGTGGGTTTATTTTCTCAACCTGCCTGATGGTCAGAATAGCCAAGGGCCCTTGGAAGTCCACAGATTCCCAGCCCCACCTCTTACAACCAGATGTCTGGGCGGACCAGGTGGGCCTGGGGCTGAGGGATCAGTATTTAACAAGTTCTGACAATTGGCCAGTTTGGGAAATCCAAGGTGATTGCTGAAAAGTGCAATGTGAACCAGTTAGGGTGTTTTGGCTGCAAGTAACACATTCCCATTTAAAATGTATTATCTGGTAAGGAAATTTACCATTCTGTGTCTCTGCCTTATAGCTCTTTGTAAAAACTTCTTAAAGGAGAGACTTCTTTCCCTGAAGTCCCCCAGCAAACTTCTCATATTTCATTGGCCAAAAATATGTCACATGACCCTTATTGAAACCTATCATTGGCCAGAGGAATTAGATCCCTACTGTTGGCCCCAACTAATCAGAAACTAGCCCCTGTGGTGGTTTGGGGGTCGGGGAGTGGGGGGTGGGCATAGTCAGATGGTGAAACTTGGATTCTTGAACAAAATGAGAGTTCTGCCCACACAAAAGGGGTAGGTGAGTGCTGGGTGACTTGCCCACTGCAACTGGGATAGTGCTTATAGTTTATGATTATTAGGGTGTAAGAGAGGGTTGTATGAGGTTCTGTGGGAGCATTGAAGAGAGAGCAATGGGCTCTGGAGGAAAATCCAGGAGGTCTTCCTGGAGGAAGGGGCGTTGGATCTTAGTCTTGCAGGATGAAGACTCTACCAATTAATTAAAGCTCCTAGCAGCCAGTTCCCTCACCTTCCACTAGGTCCTTCCCCCTAGAGGGCCTGGTTTATCCAGCAAGACTGCCAGTTCTGTTTACCACCCACAGGCCAGAAGATAAAACCAAGGGGCTGGCGGTGGTGATAGATGCCAGGAAGCAGCCTCTACACCCTGTCCTGGTCAATGCCTTGGAAGCCACCCAGGTGAGTGAGAGGTGGACAGCATCAACCTAGGAAGTCTTGGGAGCACCAGGGCCTTCTGGTATTCATGGAGTCTGGTAGCTCAGAGCTGGGTCCAGGCCCCCAGACAGGGACTCCTCGTTGCAGCTAGCAGAAACCCCAGCCCAAACAGGCTGAGAGAGGAAGGTTCTTCATTGGTTCACGTGACTCCATAGTCCAGGAGTTAGATCCAACGTCAAGTATGGCTTAATTCGGGGACTCAAATATGTCACTCAAATATTCTCTCTCCATTTCTGGCCCTGTTCTCCTGGGAGGGTGCCCTTCTCAGCCAGGCCCCTCTCTTAGTGTCAATCTGGCTCCCAGAAGTTCTGACTTTACATGGTCCTAGATTCAAGTCCAGTAGGAAAGAGTGAGAGATTCTTTTCCCAGAAGTCCCAGCAAAAGTTGCTTTGTGTCTCCTTAACCCTGATTGGCTCAGGTGTCAGGAAAATGCGACACACTGATTGGCTTAGACTTAGGTCACCGGGACCTCATGAACTGAGAATAGGGGAGGGAGGAGATTCCTCCATAGCTGGTATGGGCAGCAGAGTAAATGGAATTTGGAATTAAGCTTTCCTCAGGGTCTGATCTCCTCCTCCTCACTGTACAGATGGGGAAACTGAGGCCCAGAGGGGATGGATCATCTAGGAAGTTTGCAACCCAGCTTGGACCTCTTGATGTCCAATGACACCCTCCACACATACCTACAAGGGTCCCAGCCTTGCACAACCCCGGCTTCCCTCCCTGG